AAACAACTTCAAATAGACCTCAGAGTGCCAACAGGCTTTGAGAGATTCTAAAAGGTACTTGTCAAGCCCTCTACTACTTTCTAAACCAAAGAAAGGTGAAATACTGTTAGTCTACCTCGCGGTCTTCGAAGTCACGGTAAGTGTAGCTTTAGTCCATAAGGACGAAGGTACGCAATCTCCCATATATTACGTTAGTAAAATTTTAATGGGAGCAGAAACTCGCTACCCACATTTGGAGAAATTGGCCTTATCTCTCGTAGTCGCAGCTCGAAAGCTGAGGCCCTATTTCCAATATCACTCGATAGTTGTGGTGACCACTTTTCCTCTACGGAACATCCTCCACAAATCCGAAATCTCAGGTAAGTTGGCCAAATGGGCCATCGAAATGAGTGAGTTCGACATAGAATGTAAACCAAGGACTGTGATTAAGTCATAAGTCTTGGCTGACTTTGTGGACGATTTTAGTCTAGGATTGCTGCCTCTGGCAACCAAAGAGGCCGTAATGGTGTCAGAATTGACATTGGGGGTTTGGAACTTATTTATGGACGAAGCTTCCAATGGATATAGGTCCGGTCTTGGAATAGTATTAATCATGCCTTCCGGGGAAACCCTAAGGCAAGCCATCAGAACGATCCCTTTAACTAACAATGAAGCAGAGTGTGAGGCTTTGATTGCAGGACTCGAACTGACCTAGGGACTTGATTTCGAGGTCATTGAAATCAAATACGACTAACAACTAGTGGTAAATCAGGTCTACGGGATCTTTGAAACCAAAGAAGAGCGCATGCAATAATACGTGGTAAAAGTCCAGGCCCTGTTGGTGTGATTTCGGAAGTGGTCGATTATTCATATCCTGAGAGAAGAAAACACATAAGCAGACACGTTGGCTAACCTTGGGTCATCAACGAAAATAAAGGGATCAGAATCCGAGACTGTAGTATAATTGATGAACTCGATCCTGGATGTAAATAACTATGGTCCTAGATGTAAATAGCTACTATGAAGTAAATACGAATAGTTTGGTCTGGGACTGGAGGAATTAAATCATTGATTATCTCGAGCATGGGAAGATACCCGAAGACTTCAAGGAGTCTTGGGCGCTGCGCGCCAAAGCAGCACGGTATAACTTCAAAAGAGGCGAACTGTACAGAAAATCTTTCCAAGGCCCGTTGGCCCGGTGTTTGGGGGCATCCAAAGCTAATTACATTATGGGAGAAGTCCACGAAGGGATATGCGGCAACCATTCGAGCGCAGATTCCTTAGTACTAAAACTGGTAAGGGCATGATATTATTGGCCCTGCATGGAGCAAGACGCTAAAGCCTTCGTACAAAAATGTGATAAGTGCCAATGCTACGCACCACTGGTACATCAACCGACATAACCATTACGTTTGGTTCTGTCCCCGTGGCCATTTATGAAATGGGGAATGGACATCATTGGACCACTTTCGTCGGCTCCTGGTAAGGTAAGATTTCTTTTAATTTTAACTGACTATTTTTCTAAGTGGGTGGAAGTAGTCTTTATCAGAAGATCAACGAGCGCAAAGTGGTAGATTTCTTGTAGGAAAACATAATTTGCAGGTTCGAAATACCGAAAGAGATAGCATACGATAATGGGCCATAATTTATTGGTGCAAAAATTACAAAGTTTCTCGAAGATTTGAAAATAAAGAGGATTACATCTTCACTCTACCATCCGAGCACAAATGGTCAAGCGGAGTCATGATGAGTGGCTAGCATATAAAAAGTTATTACTCGTATCTTGTCAAATTTTATAATATAGAAAGATGTCGGTCCACAGGGATTAGGTAATCTATTCTTACAAATAAATCTTGTTTGAATTACTATTTGAGAAAATATGGATTGGTGAATTGATTAACTAACAATCTATAAATAAAGTAGTAGCGAGAAAAAATAAAAATTATTTTTTCTATTACAAATATGATTAAAGAAAAGTGTTGGGATCCTAACTTCACTTGATATTGCAATTATAACGTAGGTCCAATTGTTATTCAACTTCTATTCCCACAAATATATAAATGCCTCTGGCGGTTAACATTCATATATTATTACTTAAATCTATTAGTTAGTCATGCTCTTTCGATTACACAACTTAACTATCAAAATAAGCAATATTAAGAGCCAGGAATATATGCTAAAACTAAAATATGCTCTCTTTTTTGGTGAGCCTCTTTCGATTAACTCACTTGTTATAACTAATTTATATTAGAATTGCTCTTGCGATTACAATCCTTAATAACCATCATAGTTATACATTGCAGCAGGTAATTAACATTTAGACGACAACTTATTTATACTAAAATTAACTGTATTACTTATTTTGCTCTTTCGATTACAAAATTAGTAAAATTAATTTGTACAAACTTAAATAGAAGCCATGAAATCTAGTTAATATCTACTTCTGAAGCAGATGATAGATATAAAGTTTCAAGACAAGAACGTGAAGTTGAAGAAAAATTACTACTATTATAACATAGTATCAAGCTTCAACAGTTTCCCAGCACGAGAAAAATTACTCCATAGTGAAGTAATTATAACCACAAGAATTGTTTTTCTTCATCAAATAAGAAAATAGAAAGAAATATTTAAAGTGAATAATTCTTTCTATTTAATTATTATCAAAAAATAAAATAAGATGAACAATGGAGTTTTTATTTCAAACTCAAATGAAAAGAGAATGATAAGAACGAGGAATGAATTTGATGTGACAGGTTGTGATCGGGAAAGCTCGAAATAAGCTTTCATGGCGGAAAGAGGGGGGATTGAAACGGAAGGGTGAAGGTCCACAACAGGAAGAGAGGGAAACAATAGTAATTAAAAGGGTTTGACTGTTTTAGTAAAATTTTCATATCCTACCCAAGTATATTTTCAATGGTGCCCATTTACTCTGAATTTGTCACCAACATTGACATGTTGTATTTCAAATGCCCTATTGGAGTAACTTTAGTGACTGTATATGGACCTGTCCATTTGGATTTGAACTTACCTGAAAAAAGCTTCAAGCGACTATTGTACAAGAGAACCTTATGACCTTCTTCAAAATTCTTGTGCTTGATCATTTTGTCATGCCATCTTTTTACTCTTTCCTTGTATAAAGGAGCATTATTGTATGAGCTTAGGCGAAATTCTTCAAGTTTGTTTACCTGTAATAATCGATTTTTTCCAATATTTGTTATATCACAATTAAGGAATTTAATTGCCCAAAATGCTTTGTGCTCTAACTCAACAGGCAAGTGGCAAGCTTTTCCAAAGACGAGTCTATATGGAAAGGTTCTTATAGGTGTTTTAAATGCATTCCTATAGGTTTAAAGTGTATCATCTAATTTCAAGGATCAATTTTTTCTCGAGGCTCCAACGGTCTTTTCTAGAATTCTTTTAAGTTCTCTATTGGATACCTCAACTTGCCCGTTTGTTTGTGCATGATATGGTGTGCATGTTTTGTGTGTGACCCCATATTTAGATAACAAGGCTGCAAATTGTCTATTCATGAAATGTGGACCTTGATCACTGATGAATACCCGCGGGGTTCCAAATTTAGTAAAAATGTTCTAAAACTAACACACAATCTTGGCTTCATTTGTCCTAGTGGCTATTGTTTCAGCCCATTTTGACACGTAATCTACGACCATTAATATGTACTGGCATGAATGCGATAAAGGAAATGAACCCATAAAATCTATACCCCATACATAAAAAATTTCACAAACAAGTATAGAGTCGAGAGACATTTCATCTCTTTTGGATATATTGCCCATCCTTTGGCATTGATCACATGATGATACGTATGCTCGTGCATCTTTGAATAAGGTGAGCCAATAAAATCCTGCTTCTAGCACTTTAGCTGCTGTTCTATTTGGTCTATGATGACCTCCAACTGCTCCATCATGAAAATGGTACAAGATATTTTTCACTTATGTTTCTGGAATACATCTTCTCACGATCCCATCTGCACAATATTTAAATAAGTAAGGATCATCCCAAAAATAATGTTTTACCTTTGTCAATAATTTTTTTTTCTTAGGTAAGAATAGTCAAAAGGAATCCATTTTCCAACCAAATAGTTAGCTAAATCAGCAAACCAAGGACTTTGATCAGCAACTATTTTTATTGAAAAAATATGCTCATCAGGGAACTCTTCTTGAATTGCAATTGATTCATTTGGTGGCTTCTCTAACCGAGAGAGATGATCATCAACTTGATTTTCTGAACCTTTCTTGTCTTTGATTTCCAAGTCAACTTAAGAGTCTTGGTTTTGCATCTTTCTTGGCAATGAGGTATTTTAGTGGTGAGTGATCTGTAAAGACTATTACCTTTGATCCAATGAGATAAGCTCTGAATTTATCAAAAGCAAATACCACAGCTAGTAATTCTTTTTTGGTTGTGGCGTAATTCACTTATGCTTCATTGAGTGTACGACTGGCGTAGTAAATGGGACGAAAGATTTTACTTTTTCTTTGGCCAAGAACTGCCCCAATTGCTACATCACTAGCGTCGCACATTAATTCAAATGGTTGACTCTAATCTGTAGTCACAATAATTGGAGCATTTACCAATTGTTTCTTGATTTCTCCAAATGCCTGCAAGCAATTACTAGTGAACTCAAACTTTACATCCTTACCCAACAGATTAATTAATGGCTTGGTGATTTTGGAGAAATCCTTTAATGAATCTTTGGTAAAATCCTACATGACCTAGGAAACTTCTGATTTCTTTAACTGTGGTTGGAAGAGGTAATTTTGCAATTACCTCAACTGTTGCTTTATCAACTTCAATGCCACCTGATGTAATTTTGTGTCTAAGAACAATATATTCTTTCACCATAAAATGACATATTTTCCAATTTAAAACCAGATTTATTTCTTCATATCTTCTCAACACTAATGTTAGATGGTGAAGACATTCTTCAATTTTTTCAAAGATTGTGAAATCATCCATAAATATCTCCAAATATTTTTCAGTCATGTCTGAGAAAATAGATGTCATGCATCTTTGAAATATGGCAGGGGCATTGCATAGACTAAAGACATTCTTCTGTATCCAAATGTCCCACTAGGGCAAGTAAATATTATTTTCTCCTGATCTTCTGGTGCAATCGGTATTTGATTGTAGCCAGAGTCACCATCAAGAAAATAATAGAAACTATGCCCGGCCACTTTTTCTAACATTTGGTCAATAAATGGTAAGGAAAAATGATCTTTTTGGGTAGCGCTATTGAGTCTACGATAGTCAATGCATACCCTCATTCCTGTGACATTTCGAGTTAGAATAAACTCATTATTTTCATTTTGCACAACTGTCATTTCACCCCTTTTTGGTACAACTTGTACTGGACTTACCCAACTACTGTCAGAGATTGCGTAGATTATTCCTGCATCCAAAAGTTTAACTACCTTCTTTTGGATCACTTCTTGTAATTTAGGATTCAGACGCTGTTGTGGTTGCACTACTGATTTTGAATTATCTTCCAACGGTATTTTGTGCATGCAAATAGCAAGACTGATTCCTCTTATATCTCCAATAGTCCATCTTATTGCTTTCTTGTATCTTCACAACACTTCAATCAGTTGATGTTCATGTTCACCTATCAAAGAGGAAGAAATTATAATTGAAAATGCCTTAAGTTCTAGGAAAACTTATTTTAAATAATAAGGGAGAATTTTTAATTTAAGAGAAGAGTAAGGGTTTTCCTGTTTTATTTCTTCTTCATGGAATTCGAATGAGTCTTTTTGTTCGTGCTTTCGCTGGGATTCTTCATCAAATTCTGAATCAACGTCAGTTAGTTGATCTTCTGGTGGATCATTGACTAACTGTTGACTTTGATATTCTTCCACAATTTCATTTGATATATCAATGCCGAACATGATGAGGAAGTTTCCTGAAAAGGATATTTTATTAATTTTTGCATATCAAAGATTACCCTTTCTTTATCCACTCACAAAATTAGTTGTCCTTGTTGGACATCAATCAATGCTCTTCCAGTTGCTAAAAATGATCTTCCAAGAATTATTGGTACTTCACTGTGTTCTTCCATATCAAGTATTATAAAGTCCACTGGAAACACAAATTTGTCCGCTTTGACAAGTACATCTTCTATTGTACCTCTTGGCTTTTTCAAGTATTGATCTGCCAGTTGTAGTGAAACTGGTGTTGCTTTTATTTGTCCCAAGTTGAGCTTCCTGAAAATTAAAAATGACATTATATTAATAGAAGCTCCTAAATCACGAAATGCTTTTTCAAAATAAATTCCTCCTAGAGTACATAGAATTGTAAAACTCCTTGGATCTCCAAGTTTCTTCGAAAGCGTATTTTGAATTATAGCACTACAATTTTCTATCAATTCAATGATTGCAAGATCTTCTAGCTTTCTTTTATTTGAAAGAATTTCTTTAAGAAACCTTGCATATGAGGGCATTTGAGCTAGTGCTTCAATGAAAGGGACATTGATGTACAATTGCTTGAGGATTTCAAGGAACTTCCCAAATTGTTTATCTAATTTTTCCCTTTTTTGTTTTCGAGGGAAATGGAGTGCGATTTCCCGGGTTCCTTCGTTGTCTTGTGAGTGTGATTCTTGCTTCCTCTTTCCCTCTTTTTACTATTTTACTTGTCCATTCTCGATATGGATTAGGTATGTAACGACTCGACCGGTCGTTTTGAGCTCTAGAGCATCGTTCGGCAGTTTGAGACATTGAGTAGCTTCACTTCATGTATTATGACTTGTACGTATGGTCGGAATTGAATTCTGGGAAGTTCAGAATTGATTCAGATGGAAAATTCTAATTTTGAAAGCTTAAAGTTGGAAAAATTGACTGAGGTTTTAATTTTGAGTAACTGTCCTCAGGATCGGGATTTTAAGGTATCAATAGGTTCATATGATAATTTTAGACTTGGGCGTATGTCTGGATCGGATTTTGGTTGATCGGGGAGCATTTCAGCGATTATTGTGGAAAGTTAGCATTTTGGATGAATTTCATAAATTTGGGTTGAAGTGAATTTTGATGTTATCGATGTTTGTTTGGGACTCCAATCCTGGGAATAGCTCCGTATGGTGATTCTGGTCTTAGGAGCGCATCCGGATGTGGATTTGGAGGTTTGTAGGTCATTTCGGGGTCATTTGGCGAAAGTTGAAAATTGAAAGTTTTTGGGAAGTTTGATCGGGAGTGGACTTTTTGATGTCGGGGTAGGATTTCGATTTTGAAAGTAGGAATAGGTCCGTAATATCATTTATGACTTGTGTGCAAAATTTGAAGTCATTCCGGATTGATTTAATACATTTCGGCGCAAATTATTGAATTTGGAAATTTCATAACTCATAATTCGATTTGATGCGCGATTCGTAGTTTCGGTATTTTTGATGTGATATGAGACCCCAACTAAGTTCGTATCATATTTTGGGACTTGTTAGTATGATTTGACGGGGTCCCGGGGGGCTTGGGTGTATTTTGGATCACTGGTTAAGAGACTAGTAAAGTTAAGAAATTTGGAGTTTGACCATGATTAATATTAGGTCAAGACGACCTCTTTTCAGTTTTTGAGTGCGCGAGCAGGTCCATAGCGTGTTTTATGATTGAAATTCATATATAGTTTGTGTCCGGGAGGTTCCGGATGTGTTTCGGGATGTTTCAGATCATTTCAGAGAAATTTGAGTTTGCTGGTTTTTGATGAGGCACTGTTCATTTGCAATTGCGAACACTGTTCATTCGCAAATGCGAACCTGGGCATATTGTTTTAAACCGGGATTTTGCTCATTTCACTAATTTATCTCTTGGTTTGGGCGATTTTTGGAGAGTTTCAAGGGGAAATTTTCATCATCTATTGCAAGGTGACTAATTCTCGCATATTATTAGCTAACTCATGGATTCTACAAGGATTTAACCATAAAAATTAGTAGAAATTGTGAGATTTTAAAAGAAACCTAGAAATTGGTTTTTGGACTTTTACTACGAATTGGACATGGAATTAGGAATACATTATATATTTGAGTTTGTGGTGTTATGGGTAAAGTTTATCTTTCATAATTTTCGAAATCCAGGCACTTGGGCCATAGAGTTGACTTTTCGAGCGGGGTTGGGAATTATTTAAATTGATTGATTATGGGTATTAAAGTATATTTTCATTGGTTTGCAACTTGTTTGACTAGTTTTTGGATCGACGTGCATCAATTTGAGTTGTTAGAGAGGCTTTGGAGCCGGTTATGGAACTTCGGAGCGAGGTAAGTCTCCTGCCTAACTCTGTAAGGGGGAAACTATCCCTAGGTGATGTATTTAATATGTGCTACTTATTGTGGGGGCTATGTACGCATAAGGTGATAAGTGTCCGTACATAGCTAAATCCATGTTATTGTTCGGGTAGACTTAGGCTCACACCATGCTATAGTTGTACTATTTGAGCAGTCCCTTGCCTATTAAATTCCTTTATGTTACATTACGACTTGAGACTAGACTTGTGTAGAGCGATAGACTCGCTATTGCAGAGATTCGATGGGCTTCACGATTAGCCGCGAGTAATTTTACTCCTCTTACGAATTTCTCCTGCGTTATGCGTTCTCATCGAAAGGTTTCCTCAAATCTCCTTATAACTCATATATTCCTTCGTGAGTGGGGTCAAGGACTTGTCAAAGCTTCTTATTCTAATGGGTTCGGGCCGTTCGCCTCGCCAGGATGGATACATCTATGGTTCATGTCGTTCGACCCTCGACAGTGTGCACATCTTATGGGATCAGGCCGTTTGCCTCAGCAATGTAATAGATGTATTTATGGTTATATACCAGATTATGATGGGATTGGGACGTACACCTCGGCATTTTCTATAAAATACTCCAATCGAATCGTGCATATTATTTGTCAAAAAGCCGGTGTATCTGGGAGTTCTCTTGATTTGAATTATGACGATCTATCTGGTGAAGTCCATTATATATATATATATATATGTATATATATATATATATATACATACACATACATACATACTCCGGTGGAGGAGGTAACTGCTAATCGAGAGTGAGTTTTATTGTTGAGAGAAAGATTTTACCACGTATTTATACTTGTTTATCTCGTTTATTTACTCTGCCCCATATCTGTTTATTTCTTACTGTATCTGTCTTATTGGACCACTAGTAAGTGTCGATGTCCATCCCTCATCACTACTTCTCTGGGGTTAGGCTAGATACTTAATGGGTACGCGTTGATTTACGTACTCATGCTGCACTTATTGTGCAGATGTACATATATGTTTCTGGTGGTCCTCTGGATGTAGAGGCACGACTATTGCAGGAACTTTACGGTGAGCTGCACTTTCTTGATACGATCCGCAACATACAGAGTCTCCATCAGTGTTATTTATATTCCCCGTCTATCTTGTATTTCAGACGGATGTTGTATTATTATTGTACTCATTAATAAATGCTCATGCAGTTGTGACACCAGGTTTTGGGGGTTCTTACGGGATTTTTCATTATTGTAGTTTGTGTAAATATTATCACTTAACTCGTAAATTCTATTTCATACTCTTTAATTAATGAAAATTATGATTTCAAATAGTTAATCATTCACCGTTGGCTTGCCTGATGGCGGTGTTATGCGCTATCACGACCTTAGTGGATTTTGGATTGTAACAGATTGGTGTCGTAGCGTTAGGTTCACTTAGGTTTCACGAGTCATGAGCAAGTCTCGTAGAGTCTCATGAATCGGTACAAAGACATCTGTACTTATCTTCGGGAGGCTACAGGGCTGTTACGAGCATTCCCCTTCTTGATTCCTCATCATGCAATTTGATTCCTTTGAGGCTTATGCCTTTATTTTCTTCCTACTCATTCTTATACGATGTTGAACGCTCGTGTCAATTAAGCATCGAGGAGTTGCAGTGGTACTACAGACGTGGAGCAGGATGTTTCTCCCTGCACATTCAAGCAAGTTATTATCGTCTTTTTGCAGAAGGATGTTCTGTCATTTCAGCTCAGTAGCTATATTTCTGATGGTTTTGAGGCTATGCACAAGTTGCTATGATGTTCATGAGTTGTTATCTCACAATATTAATGTAATGGTGGGGTTCTCGTTTATGTGCCAACGCAGTGAATGACTTGAAAGGAGAATTTTTCAGTGCATGATTTAGAGGTTCAACGTTTAATTCCAACAAAGGAAAGGCAATCGGACTATGAATGTTCAGGTTTGGGTTGCTGGAGTAACGAGACTTGGTATTTTCCAACGTGGTGGTATTTTCATCTGTGATGTAGTGTCGTTGTCCTTGTTTGAAATATTACGGTTCGCCGGTGTTATAGCTATTGGGGGTAATCGGGAAGAGGATAACAATTAGGATATAATCTAAGAAGGCTCTTTATGGCCACTATCAGGTAACAAATGAAGAACAAGTATATAAGCAATAAATGGAAAGAGTAGCCTCGAGCTAGTAAGTTAGAGAGAAAAGAGAGAGAGAGAGATATTATTGATCTTGTGTAGAATGGTTGGAGCAACGTCGGCCCCTTACAAAGTGGTGAGGACTCCCTTTATATAAGAGGAGAATCCTGTGATAGTACAAAGTATATTAATTGTAAAAGCATGGAGATGGGACGGCTAAACGCGACGTCTCGATACAGGCTCTGGGTAGGCTAGCTCAGTCAGACTTAGCCGTGTGCCTTGGGAATTTCCCGTTTTGCTCCAGCCTCGATCTTCATTTTCTTTAAGTCGGGCCTCAACGAGACTCGAGGGGGGATACTCGGCCGCGACTCCACGTCCTCGGGGCCTCAAGACATTCTTCTGAAGTGACTTGATAGCAAGAAATTAGGCCCTCTGATTTCGCCGCATATAGATAGTCTCCGTGTATCTTAGAACGAAGCGATGGGAAATGATTCTGATACCTGAATCCTCGAGCTTCTCGTGACAATGCCACACTGACGATGCAATCCTATGGCGTGAGTCTTTACGCTAACCGAGACATCCCATGGACTTGTCTTTTCGACATCATTCAATGCACTGTCGATTCCTATTCTCCAAGGTGAAAGTACCGCCGTCGATTCAATTCTTCAGGAATGCAGTAATTGCTTCCGCCGGTCAGTCTTCCAAAGGCCTCGATGATGTCATTATCTCCTATAAATAGGGGCGTTCTGGCGTGGTTTTTCTATCTAAGTGCCTTCATCTACACACTCACCCTTCTCTCTTTATCATCTTCCTCTATTGTTGATCATCATGCTTGGAGTCTGCAGCC